ATACCAACAGTGGAAACTGTGGTGATATCGTTCTGGGTGAAGCCGTAGTCATTCGTCATTTTGCCGGAGATAAGGGAGAAGGCGTAGATAGCACCGGACGCGATGGCGCAGAACATGCCACAAACCACAAAACCAAAGCGCTGTGGCTCGCTGATCGACTTTGGCACCGCCAACCGGTCATTAAAACCAAGCACCATTTTCACGCCTGCCCTTGCCTCCTCTTCCCTGTACCTCGTGTCCCGCGGTTGCCTTCCTTCGAGCTGACCTTTATTCCCTTTTCCTTCAAGCCCTGTCACTTTCTTGCGAATAAGAGAAATAAAATGAAAAAAACACAACACTGCAATGCAAGATTTTGAACAGCAGGAGCGCTGGCGATGCGGCTGGACGTGCGGGAAACACGTGGCACCATTGTCCCCGCGTCACACAATCACGTGCGTGGAAAGAATTTAAAAGACGATTCAGGTAAATAGTGAAGAATAAAGAAAAGAATATTCTTTTAACTTTGTGTGTTGCTGTATTCGCTGGCGCTATCAGAGTCATCAGACGCCACAGCAAAAAACTTTGAGAAGGATCATAAGGAATGCTCAGCGCTGCTGTGGTTCTCTTTTTCCAGCGTGTCATTGACTTCATTTATTTCGGTATCTTTCTTCTCCACTTGGACGTTATTGGTGGCGACATCGGCTTGCTCGTATTCCCAAACGTGTTGTAATGCCACATCATGTCGCAGAGCTGCCGCATGTTGCTCTAGCGTGTCTTTCTCGGCATCTGCAAGGCGATTAAAAGCGGCACGCAAGCTGGAGGTATCCTCGAAGTACTTGTATGATATTGTCGTTTTCCGCCGTTCCAAGGCGAAGAGCTGCAGGGCCGTTAGGCATAGACTCGCCCTACTACGCTGCATTAGTATCCTCTCCCCTCCGGCAGAGTCTCTGGTATCATCCACGTCTTCTAAAGGTTCCTCCTTTCATTTGTGAAATGAAAAAGGTATGAGAAGCAATAACATATGTAGCAAGGAATTAAATGATTGCATCTCATTTGCTTCACACACAAGAAGGTAAGGTGAGAGAGAGTCAGCAACAACAGCAAATCGTATTGAAGTTCGGCTTAAAAGAAAAATACACCAACTCCATAGCAAAAACAAAACAAAAAAACCATACACACAAAATAATCATCAGCTTACTCACCCAGAGGAAAAAAAAAGAGTTGGTGCCGTAGAAACACGGAAGAGAAATAAAGAAATATCCTACCCGCATTGGGATACACTCGGTGGCCAAAACACACGCACACACAGAAGAAAAAAGAAAAGAACAGAAAAAGGTGGACGATGCCCGTAGGACGGTCAGCCCGACGTCGTCTGTTGAACCAGGCAGCGTCTGGGAGAGCATTAAGCCCGAAAGCCGTGCTGAATCATTGGTCATAGCAATGTTCACAAGATAAGAGAATACCTTCAGAACAGAAGGTGAACGGCCTCACACCACTGCAGAGACAAATGCCGTGCTTATTTGCGAGCTTTGTGGCTAACCAAATGAGCCTGTTTATGCATCCGTATGAAATAGCACTCGCCTTCATTTGCGTTGTGATGCTCGGGGAGTACGGTATCCCATAGACGTTCACTGGCTGGCAGCGACGGCAGGTATTTGCGTTAAATACATCTGGACGGTGCGTGCCACATACAATGTAACACATCACACACGGACACTTTTCATCTACTCGCAGCGCAGCGACGTTCAATTCTTTCAAAAAGGAGGGAGCAAAAGAACCACCAAACATCAATTTCGCCTCATCCACTGTAGCCCAGTAGCGATGATGTCCTTCGGCAAAATGTTGTCCCGAAGCGTGCACGCACTTCCTCCGCGAAGGATTGAGGAAGAGGCTCACCGTTTGTGTTGAGCGGACTTAATACGTCAAGGTCTGACTCGCATTTCACCGTGCCAAGAGTCACCAGGAAGCAAAGTTTGGATACCTCCTTCAGCTTGTGTTCTGTGCACGTCAGTTGTTAGAAGTTGCAGAACAACCGCCAACCATTGGCTGCGCTGATGGCCACGGGGCTTGCAGACTTGGGGCAGCGCTCGTGCAGCCGCAAACGTTCGAAGAGGCTCTGTGCCACCCACACACTTGCCACGTCGCCCCGTGCCATGGCGTGCGTCCAAAAAATCGCCTCATCCTCCAGCGAGAATGTGGCCTCTGTGATGCAAACTATGGACTTCATCCGGACTCCCAGCGCTTTTTCTTCTCAATATAACACCGCAAACACGGGGTCACGACAAAAAAAAGCAAAAAAAAAGCGAAGAAGTATAAAACATTTACGGTCTGCATGACTCACAAAAAAAAAAAAGTAATTATCATCCTCAATGCAAAAAACGGTGGGTGGAGCACGCTACGCGGGTGGGACTTTTATTATTATTATTCAAAAAAAAAGGATAAACAAAGAGGTGGCAATACAGAAACATGAAAAACAACGAATTACATCTGGACTCTGTCTCACATGTCTTCGTTCGTTCCTGTATTGCGGAAGATGGGACACAAAGATCCTGCATAACGCTAGAATACACAAAGACATATAACTAAATAGAGCGAGAGCAACTAACAGCACACTACACATGGTGTGACTTCGGGTAGTGAATAGCAATGCACAAAACGATGATTGTTGCCGTCAGCGCAAGCATATGAATAAACACCATTAACACCAATATAAGCGGTGAGATTCGAATAGAAAAAACGGAAGGTAATTTATCATGATCCTTAATCATTTGACGACATGTTGCTATAGCATCGCTGCTCTCATCATTGGGGCCTTGTTTTAGTCGATGGTATAGGGATGCTACATCAAGGAGGTAAAGGTGAGTTGTGTGTTCTTTGCAAGTTTCAAGACAAATGTAGAGATACCTTTGCAGCATAAAGCCCCATAGTGTGCAGAGTACAAAGGCATAAGTGTGCCCTGAGGAATAGTGTGACCCAGAGTGAGAGTAACCTAAAACCAGCACAGAGACAAAATCACCAATTGTTACAATGAAGCCACAAAAGACAAACGCCAAGTAGATGCTCATGGTAGAACTCCGAGAAACATGGTTGAAGCACGTGGATGCGTAAAGCACAAGAGAACGCACTATGCACCATCCGACGACGCCAGTCAACACATCGTGTGGATTCAACGGTTCATTAAAGTTAAATCGTTGTTGAAAAAATTCGCTCGGGCGCATTAAGCTTCGACCCTCCAAGTACGCCAGTCGGGTAATAACGCGCATCTGTTCTAATATTTGCCGCTGCATATCTGTAATTTTCAATACATAGTATGCAAGAACAGTGGAAAACAACAAGTTGGAGATAAAAAGCAAAACTGACGCCGCCACCTCGTAATTTCCTATGCCAAACAATGAATGCCTAAAACCAGCACGCGTGCAAGGAGCCGCAAAGCTCATGACGAGACCGACAAAAATGGAACATACCAACCAACGATAGCGGTAATGCTTGTTCTTTACCACAGTGCGACCCTTCTCATCCCAGGTATAAATACACACCTTTGCTTTGTTATCCACAATATCTGCGGCAAAGGCAGAAATGCGCGGCACCAGACAACGTTCAAGACGCTCCAACGCATGAGCCACTCGCATGTAGCTATTGTATGCAGCAAAAAACAGGGCTTGCACGACCCAAAAGGTACATGGAATAACCACTTCTGCAAGCGTCAAGTGTCCACCACTCACGTGTCCCGGAGTTACTTTGGCTACAACAATCACAACTGCTGCAATATTGCAGCAGATTGCAGCAGTTACAAAGTGTAAGGAATAAAAAGGAGGGTCATATTCTCGTAGAAGTGAGGCACCACTCACTACAAATTCTCGCTCCATTTCAAGCATAGCCCTACGGATAGGGGAAAAAGGGAGTTGCGGCAACGACAAGAATGGAAAAAGAAATATTACAAAATATTTCATGTAGTGACTGAATGAGAAGAACTCATTGGATGCAGGTGCAGCACATGCAAATATCGCATACGGTGAAGCTCCCATCGCAAGTAAATTTCTTGTAACTGGTTTATCACGTATATGCATTTCCACCGCCTCTGTTTGCCGCCGCACCGTTCCTCCCAAGAAAGATCCTTCAGTATCACTCGCGCAGTCTCCTGGGATCGCTGCAGTACCAGGGAGTAACGCAGTAGATGCTCCCTTCGTGACAGAAGGGTTCAGTATGAAATAATCGCGTGCCTCCCTGCTTGACATCATAGAGTCCTGTTCTAAGGGTTGCCTCACACAAAGATGCACCACTGGCTCCTTGATGCAACGGCTGAGATGCAGATAGTGCCAGCCCGTCCCTCTCGTCCCAGTTTTGACATTTCGTAGCTCATTACACAGTCGAAAGGCGATTGCAGTAAAAAATTTAGCGTGACAACTACCACCGACGTCATCCTCGGTCTGCATCACAACTCCCTCACGCCATGTGCCACGGGTCAGACAGCCATCCTGCAAGTACGCCCCAAAGCCTTTCGCCACAGATCTCTCAAACATTCCAGTGAAGAGTGCACCAGAGGGGAGTAACACCTCCGCAGGCCCCTCTAAAAACCCGCGCTCAAAGTTCCCGGCACAGATAGTCCCTGACGGAAACACGCATATGCCAGACCCCTGCGGCTTGCCGTCAAGAAGCGGTCCCTCGTATAAAATACCGTCACTGAAGCACACGCTGGCCACATTTTGCGTCGAGCTCACAGCGACCGGCGGGTCCCTCTTGGCCGGTGTCCTGTTGTTGTTAATGTTTGTACTCAGCGGCTCCCCTGGCATCACACCAGACCAACCATCTGAGCAGTGTGAGTCAGAGAAGAGGCAAAGAAATAAGGAAATAAAAATGTTTATGGCTGCCGAAGCAGTAATATTAATAAAAAGGGCGAACATAATCGTTTTTAAAGCAGCTGCTCAGTTATCTGCTCTTATCAGGCGGGCAGGAAAGGAGGAAATAGCGGGTGCCTATAATCACTGCCCCCACCACCCCGCAAAAAAAAATGAAGACCTCTCCACCACATGATGGAAGTGAAAAACAAAAACAAGCCAAATAAATACAGCGGCATCCCTTTGCGCAGGCTGCTTCCAACGCTGTAGCTTCCCAAATTGTTGCTGTAGTCGTAAATTATGGTCAGTGATGAGAAAAAAAAAACAGGCGAATATATTTTGAAAAAGAGGGCTTCACATGTGTCAGTCCCACACCACTATCACTTATTAGGGCTGGCGATTCAAGGTGAGATAAAACACAGGAATGCAGCGAGAGAGAAAGAGAAGGGCGCGGAATAAAGTAAAAGCAAACAAGAAATAAAAAAGATCAAATATAAGAGGGGAAAAAGCTCTGTTTACCTCCTTACCATAAAAACACAAACGATAGGAAGAAAGGCCACCCTTAGCCTTCGTCGCTGAATGAATGCCTATGATACCGCCCCCTCCCGCGTTCTTTCTCCCCTCTTAACCAAAGGTGTGTTTTGATCTATGGTAACTTTTTTGTTGTTGTTTCTGCTACCTTTTCTTTGCTTTACGTGCGCTCTCTCTCTCTCTCTCTCCCTCTCCCCCCCCCCTCTCCTCCTCTCTCG